AACATGTAAATACACATGATGCAGCAGTTTGAAGCATCTGGCTCCTCGTCATGTTAAATGTATGACTCATATCACAATAAGTCTAATTACACACGTGTATGATTCTGTTGGCGCAGAGCAGCAGCTGTGAGTTTCTCTCTCTGATAAGATGTTGAATTAAAAATGTGAATCCTTTAACTGACTGATGAAGAGTTGAAGAGAAGCTCAGGTTGAGATGACACAGGAACACAGAGAGTGAGTGAGAGTGAACTGACCTCAGTCCAGTCCACAGCTGCCGTCGTGTTTCTCTCCGAGCTGCTGGACATTTCCTGCTGGAGGTTCAGAGACCAGCTGGAGAAGAAGACCAGTGTTGAGGCTCGAGGTGAAGGTGTCAGACACGCTGCAGCTTGACAGCAGCTTTTATCCTGCAGCTCACAGGAGGCTGCACTTCTTCACCCTGACAGCGCCCCCTGGGGGAGCAGGACCAGCATCAGACTCCAGGACATGTCCCTCTACTGACATCCTCTGGACAATCCTCACAAGACACACAGTGAGCGTCCTGTGGCTGTAATGAGTTCCACAGCCTGTAGGGGGACACTGAACTATGGCTCATTCCATGACTTTAACTTTATTAATAACTTACTCTTCATCTGTCACTGGATCATTGTGACTCTGTGACTTTTCTATGAACCAGGATGAGTTTGACTCTAAATGTGAGAAACAGAGGTGGTGGAAACAAGCTCCTCCCTCATCACATGACCCCACGTTAGACATTTTGATCATTTTGTCTTTTTAAATTATTTCCTTCAGCTGTCGTTTGATATTTTGTGTCTCAGTCACTTTATTGAACATTTTGAAAACACGACATTAGTTTCACTGGTTTCTTCTGTAAACATGAATCTGTCGCTAACACGAACTCTTCACAGGTTTCTAACGTCAGTGGAGCTGTGGCATAAAGGTCCCGCCCATACACACACTCTCAACCAATCACTAGTCAGCTGTCAATCATGACGTCTCCGCCTGATTTTATATCATCAATAACTAATTAAACCAAACTGATGAGAAACGTCTACTTTGATTCTTTAGTTTGGTTCATGTCCCATCTGCTAACATGGAGGAGGTTTATGAGCTGTACTGCAGCCAGACACCAGGGGGCGACAGAGACAGCGTCTCTTCAAGGAGTTGTCATGACGTCCATCTTTATTTACAGTCTGTGGGAAAAACTGGAAGAAGAAATGCAGAAGAAAAAGACTTTGACTTTCTGGACCAGAGTGAAGAGCAGCAGAACACTTTACATTTAAATCAGATTTCCAGATGAGATCGATGTGTCAGGATAACGTTAGCCTAGCTTAGCATGAAGGCAAATAAAAAAGAACATTTAAACCGATGAATGTTCCGTCTCTCGATTATTTATCGTCCAAAAACAGAAATGTAAAACCAGTTTTATTTGCAGGAACTTTTTCTGGTTCACAGCAAAGTTACAGCTCTTCACTGTATTTCTCTGTCATCACGTTCTTATCAAACAGAAAACTGAAGCCTCACCTTCAGATTCAGGCTCAAATGTGTATTTGCTACAAACCAGCACCTTGAAAAATAAAGATCTGAGTTTGTCAGAAAACAAACGGTGCTCAGGCTTCAGGAGACGCCTCAGGAGGAACCATCACGTCGCTCCGGGCTGTCGTCTCAACACAAACAGAAAATACAGAATCCATCCTTAAAGACTCTCAGTGGCTCTGACCGCTTCCTTTGCACCGTCTCGTGGTGGCGTCTGCACCGAAGTCTGTGACTCGTGTTTCTTCATGTGGTTGCGGTAGATCCTGGCTCCACTCAGGTTCTTCTTGCAGATGTCGCAGAAGTACGGCTGGGCGTCTGAGTGCATGTCCACGTGGTAGGTGAGCTCCAGAGCGCGGCTGAAGCTCTTGCTGCAGAGCGGACACTGGTAGCGGACTCCTGAGTGTGTCAGCAGGTGGGTCTTGAGCGAGCACTGCTGTTTGAAGGTCTTCTGGCAGACGGAGCACTGGTACGGTCGCGCATCGGTGTGCAGCCGCTGGTGCCGGCGCAGAGCGCTGGAGAAGGTGAAGCTCTTCCTGCAGTCGGTGCAGGTGTAGGGCTTCTCTCCGGTGTGAATCCTCAGGTGCTCCGTCATGTGAACCTGCTGCGTGAAGCTCTTCCTGCAGGTGGGGCACTGGAACGGACGCTCGCCCGAGTGAATCCTCAGGTGTTTCTGCAGCGCCGACGCTTTGAAACAGTCACGACTGCACACGGGACAGCAGTGTTTCCCTTTACCGTCCCCGCGGCCGTCCGCCGGCGTCTCCGAGCCGCTCGTTGATTCTGGGGAAGAAGAAAAACTTAAAGCTGAATGACAATGTGCTTCTTTTCTATTTCTTCAACTTCCAGCCTGAAACTGGTCAATAAAATAATGATAACAAGAATTCTCATAAACTTCCAGTTTGAGAATCGGAACTAATTCTGCTCAAGGTTTAATTCAAGTCAATGCAACAAAAAAGACGGATGAAGTCAGACTGATGCTGATTCCAATGTTTGATTTGAACCAAACATCCTGAACGACACTGACAGAGAACTGAGGAGAGAGGAGATGAGGGAAGGAAGAGAGACGACAAGTTAAAGGAGGAAGTAAATAACGTAAGTGAAGAAAAATAAGGTTGATAAAAGTAAGAAACTAAGTTTAGTGATTCTTGAATCTGTGACGAACCTGTGAGTGGCGGCCTCCACTCCTCTTCCTCTCCATCAGAGTTTATCAAACCGCTGACGTCTCCGTCCTCATTTCCTTCCCCGTCGTCCCTCTTCAACACCGAGCGGTCACGGTCGTCATGGTTACCAGGCAGCGGGCTGGATCTCCAGGTGAAGGACTCGGCTGTGGAGAAATGGTCTCCTGAGTCCTGGAGGATCAATAAAAACCTGATGTCAGCACAGAGGACAGGAAATGTTTTATCAGAACAGGTACATTTCTCACCTGGTCATCCAGACCGTCTTCTTCCTCCTCCTCCATCTTCATCCCTGTGTTCTCCTCTGTCTCCTCCTCCTCCTCCTCCTCCTCCATGGTCTGCATGTTTGACCAGAACTCCTGAAACAGAACACAAAACTTCAAATTCACCTACAACCCCTTTGCTTTTGTTGTGTTTTTCACACATCAGCCGAGCCACAGGTCAGATTCACATCTGATATCATGTCGTCTTTGTTTCTCATGTCTCTA